AAACATTAAAAAATTTAAAAAAAAAAGAATGAAACAGCATTGCACATAACAGCAAAACTTAGAAACAACCCAAATCCATCAACTGATATTTTCATTCCATGCACTACTGCAGAGGTATAAAAAGGACTCAATTACACTTACGTTTGAGAATACGGAGGACTCTTGAGTTAGAGAAGCGAGTCATGGAGAAATACATTCATCTTTTGTTTAGAGTTTAAAAACAGGTAAACTTAATAAAGGACCGATGTGGAATACATCACAGGTGGTAAAGCTAATGAAAAGCAATAGAATGAACACCAAATGCAGGGCAAGAAGCCGCCCCTGAGTGGCCAGGCTGGGGTACAAAGGAAGTTCTGTTTCTCTGGCTGAGTGGTAGTGTATGGGTGTTTATTTATGTTTTGTATGATTTGTACTTAAAAGAGATTTCAAATTATAAAAAATAATAAACCAAGACAGGGGCACCTGGGTGTGTCAGTGGGTTAGGCATCCAACTCTGGATTTTGGCTCAGATCATGATCTCCTGGTGAGTTTGAGCCCCACAGAAGATTCTGCGCAGTGCAGAGCCCACTTGGGATATTCATTCATTCTCTCTCTCTCTCCTTCTTTTTCTGCTTCTCCCACACTTGTGTGTGTGTGCGCGTGAGTGCATGCTCTGCTCTATCTCAAAATAATCTTAAAACAATAATAAACCAAGACAAAACAAAAATGAAAGGACTAGAAAATTATCAGAGAGAAAATTATTTAACAGAAATGAAAAAAACCACAAACGAATGGGTAATTTTGAATATATCCCAAAAAATGAAAAAAGTGAAAGTGACATCAACAAGAAAAGTCCAAACCAATTTTAAAAGCCATAGTGGTAAAACAAGATTTTAAACTACAAATCAATGTAAATATACGAAAAGAAGTTTACTCTCACTAGTAACCAGATGCAAACTAAAACAACCATCAGTTAAGAAATGATGACAGTACACATGGGTAAGGCTGTAGGGAGACTAACACTTTCACACGTGCTGGTAGGAATGAATCTTGGTGTGACTTCTGGGGAGGGAAAGTTAGCACATACATGAAGTGTCTTAAAAACAGTCACACTCTTGAAACCAATAATTCTACTTCTAGACATGAATCTTAAGGAAGCAATTTGAACTACCGTATTAAGGCTGTATTAGCAAACAACTGGAAAGAACCTAAATATCCAAATAGGGAGTGTTTCAGATAAAAGAAAATTATCCTTTACTTAGGGGACTAAGTATTAAATGCTTACTTCATCCATATAGGCAAAAAAAAATGTGATGTCAATAAAACAATGCAGGTCCTAAAATTACATACACAATTGTCTTTTAGCTACTTTTTTTAATGCATAGAAAAAAAGACCAGAAAAAAATGCATCTACTGTTAGCAGAGCTGTCTCTGGATGGTAAGCTTATGGGGGACTTTTTGGTATCATTCAAATTCATGTAAGTGAATTCACATACTTGTAAAGTCAAGAAACAAAGCTAAAATAACAAAACCCATCAACCTCTCAAATGCTCTCCAAACTCACTTAGGTACACACATTTCACTTTTGTTCAAGGCTCTCCATAGTACATTCCCACTGTTTTTAGTGGATGTGCTTACCCTCCTTAAAATTCATGAAAGCGGACTTCTGTTGGCTTCCCAACATGCCCTGCGCCTTCTCACTACAGTGTCTTAGCTCTGACTATGTGATCCTCCTGGATCACTTTCTCTACCGGGCCAAGTTCTACCATCTTCCAAAGTTTCATGAGAAACACCACATTTTCTATGAAGATTTTTCTCACTCCGTGCTAACCCAATCACCCTAATCAGATGTGACCTCTTCCTTGCCTTTGACTTCTACAGAAATGATTTTAACATCCTTATTCCACTAAACACAATTTGCCTCAACTCCAATAGTTAGCTCTGTTTTAATGCCTCTGCTAGGCTGTAAGTTCAGGAAGGGGCTCTATCCGTCTGCAGTTCTTTCTCTAATATTGACACACAACTTCCCAGAATTAAGCATATAATGAGTATTTGAGGAACCAAATAAATTACTGTCACAAGGGAGTAGTCTCTTGCCTTGGTCACAAGAAGGAGGAAGAGAGAACGGGAAATGTTTCTTATTTGAGACTCTGCATGGAATTTCTCACAGAAACAATGACCAAAAAAAGGACCATTTATAACACATAAAACAATTACGGGCTTTTATTCTGTTTGCCAGCTACAAATCTATCCATAATTGGTAACTTAATTTCAATGGAAACAAAAATGTGCTTGGAATTCCCAAGAACCTACCTCCAAAAGAGGTTTTGGAGTACAGCCAGTGCTTAAAGTGACAGATTTGCAGATAATATTTTCCTTTAGGAAAAATATCAAGTTTGTTTGCCTAAGTCAGCCTTAAGCCTCTTCTGAAACAAAATACTAAGGATAATAGGGTGAAATGAAAGACGGAGGAAGAAGGAAAGTGCCTGTTCTCTAAGCACTTAATTTCTAAAAAGTAAACCTGAAAGGGCAAACACAGGCAGATCAAAACACCCTTTTTACCATTCTACTTTACCTTTACCTGATGCAGTATCTCAGGAAACCTCAAACTTTCACAATCCTAAAAGGTTTTTATTTTTCCTTTCCCATGCAAGTCTTTAAATTAAATTAGTATTTACAACAGCTGTGCAAGATGAGCCACTCAAATCACCTACATTCACACATACCCAAGTGTGTATATTTAAGGACAAAACATTCCCTGTAAAGTGCTTTAACTTTGAAATAATGCTTGTGAAACGCAGTGTGAGGGCTGTTCTTTGCCAGATTTTGGCGGGGGTGGGAAGCCAGTTCGGACTACTCATAATACAGATTTGGATTCATCTCCCCATGTATATATTTAAGCATTGCTATATTCAATATATATTGAAAACTGTATTAGGTATACAGAGGGAAGTCACATCCTGCCCTCCATGTGCACAGGTTGCCCTAGACCCCTACACATTCCACTGGAGCAAATGAACAATAAGTAAACAAACGAACATGCCAATTACAGGTTATGGTAAGAGCTGTAAAGGAGACAAACAGGAGGCTATTTAGTAATCAGGAAAGGACTCTCAGATACATTTAAACTAAGATGGGAAAGAAAAAAAATGGCCCCAGCCGTGCACACTATCTGGGCAGTAGCCTTCCAAACAAAGAGAAGTGGAAAGGTCCCGAGATAAACACAGATTCAGTCTGTCCGAAGAACAAAAGAGAGGCAGTGTGGCCGGTCATGTTTTTCAAACTGTGGGTCATGCAGGTTGTGATGTCAATGTTGTGGGTCACTGCAGCAGGAAGTCGTGGGTTTTCAAAATAAGTCTTCTTGAACGAACTTTTGCTTCAGTTGTGTGTTGGGGTGTACTAGATTGCAATACGTGAGATGTTTCTGATTGTGGGCAGTGATGAAATCTGTACCTAGCACAGAGAGTAGTTACAGATTAGGACGGAGGGGTGGGCAGGAGCGCTTGCATGCAGGGCCTTGCCGTGTAGGCCACCATTAAGAACTGAGATTTTCATTCTAAACACAGTGGCAAAGTAGTGAAGGGTTTCAAGTTGGGGAATGACATGATCTAATTCGGCATGCTGGTGTTGCCAAAGATTTTCACCACAGCGAAATTCAGAAAACTTGAGCACCAGCCCAGACCTAGCCACTAACACCAAGGATTTGGAGCAAATCCCTTAATCTCTCTAGATCTTACTTTCTTCATTTTAAAAATGAGAAGGTTGGACCAAGATGCCTTTTCGGATCTTGCCTATTGCTACATTTCTCTGACTACATATATATATATACACATACATATATCCTGCTTCCTCCTTTGGGTAAGTACATGGCTATTGGGGAGACATGAGCACATTAGGTCAAGTTCTGGATTACTTCTTCAAATACTATAAACCATGTGACTCTAAGAATTACAGCTCTCCAGAAAGCAATTTTAGAATGATCTCTTGACTCGAACCAGCTATATTATTAGAAATGAGATCTCTGGACTAAAAGTGAATCGAGTGCTTTTGCAACTCTCTAGCGCAAAGTTTGGGACGTGAAGATAATTGACAGGGAAGATGAAAAGATTTACTGACCAGCTTATTTGGAACACAGTTCCCTATTTATTCTAGGTCATCAACTGAAATTTAATCTATGGCAGTCTCAAATTGCAGAGAACCTCTGCTGAGCACTCAAGATGCTGAGGCTTACCCCCTCTTCCACAGCAATCAAAAGGACTATCGAGACAAAACAGCTGTTGAGAGGCAACAACAGGTTAATCCCAAGCTAGATGGTTTGATACATGCTCTTTTGGTTAATCCTCCCAACCTAATTATTCACATTTCACAGATATGGAAACAGGGGTCTGGAAAAGACAACTAAGCTATTAAGTGGCAGAGTCAGGATTCAAATATTTATTCCACATTTATAACACATTATCCTGCAGGTTGTTAAAAATGACTGTACAAGGATTAAGTCATCAGCTTCAAGTATCTGGGACATCTGTTCAAGTACATGAACAGATAATATTCAACCAATAAATCCATTCTGGGCTCACAGGTACTTTGCCAGGCACAGTGTGGGATGAAAGAGAACTTGGTCCAGCACCAGAGGGTCCGCTCCGTGGGTAGCAAGGAATCTGGATCCACAATTAAGCACACGTGAACGGCATCATGGCAGTTTCCACGTTCTTTTTCTCTAGTATTGCTGCTGAAAGGTCCGTGCCCTGGGCCTTGCAAGTGTCCTCCAAGTTCCATAAACTCGAGATGCTAGAAACTCACCAATTTCCAACTTACATTAACCCTTCGGGAAGCAATGGGCGTATCACCTGCCCGACTGGAGCACCGAGCATGGAACGTTATGGAGAAGGAAACCTTGGAGGTTTCCCTGTGAGGGTCGAAAGGGTCCCTAAAGCCTCCCACAGAGACGCCTTGCAAACACCTTTGGAAAGTTGGGGACTCTCATTGCATACCTGCCTCAACACCGAGAACGCAGTACCCACCTGTCACATAATCAGTTTCGAATCTCCGTCGGGTCTCAGAGATGAGCTTGGCTTTATTCTGGGTGGGATACTGAAACGGAGACACGAAGGGACGCTTAGACACCACGCGCACCATCCCGCTTCCCTTCAGCCCAGCCCACCTGCACCTGGGGGCACGGCCGCCCGGCTTCAGAAGAAGCTTCTGGGTCCGGGGGCTGCGGCGGCAGTGTGGTCGGCTCCTCACCTCGGCCATGGTCGCGGTCCTGGAGGTGATTTCGATCGCCGTGGCCACTTCCCCACCTGTCCGAATATCTCATCACTGGCCAGGCGGGCCGGGAGGTAGAGAGGGAAGGGCGGGACGTGTAGACCGTCGCGTGACACCGGGAGGCGGACGGAAGCGTCGCCGCGCTGCCCAATCCGACGCGGCCGCTTGGGTGTGGAGGCGGGACCAGGTCCTTAGCCTGGCTTTCCATTAGCTTCTCGTGCGGGCTCCACTCCCTCCGACATACCCTGCACTGCGGACCCGCCTCCGCCTACCGCCGGATCACGGGAGCTTCTAGCACCGAGCTCCGCCCGAGCAAGCTCCGCCTGCCCTTCGCTTTCACAACATCCCCTGGAGGCCCCGCCCCCTCAGCCTCCCTTGGCAACCGTCTCCGGGCAGGCTCCTCCGGCTCCGCGCGCCCCGCCTCCTGTGCCCTCGACGCAGCCTCCGGCCCGGGCCTCCCAGGATGCCGCGCGCGGGCGGGAGGTTTGGAGCCGAGGGCCTCTGCGCCCGCGTAGGGCGTCGGGAACGTGGCGCCTATGGGACCCCGAACGCGCGGGCTCAGGTAGGGCAGGCGCGTCGTCCCACACCTTTACCTGGACTTCGCGGGGCCGGGCGGCAGCGCTGGGTTGGCTCCCCTGGTGCCCTCTTTGCGGAATAAGGGGATGGAAGCGAGCTTGCCGGGGCCTATGTCCATCACTGTGGGATGATGAGTAGATTTTAAGTGCTTGCTCTATTGGATTAGTTCCCTTGAAACTTTCTTCACCCCGCCGCCGCATCTTTCCCACCTGGAGTGTGAGAAACTTCTCAAGGATTCTATATTTGACAGCTTTAAACCAAAGCAATTGTAGAAAGTCAAAGGATGTAAAGCATGTTACAGTTTTTTTAAGGTAGTTCTCAGCCGGGGGCAGCGTTGTCTCCTAGGGGACATTTGGCAGGGTCTGGAGACAGTTTTGGTTGTCATAATGGGGCAGGGGCCAGCCACTGGCCATCTAGTGGGTTTTACTAAATAGCCTGCATTGCACAGGGCAGCCCCTAGGACCGTTACGCAGTGCAAAAATGACCTCAAGGGCCAAACTGGAGAAAGATTTAGGTTTATAAGGCACTGGGACAATTTTATGGTTGTCGGCCAAGAAATGGAAAAGAAATCGTTTTGCATTCAATAATACTGCCTTCTTTAAAAATTGCAAGATAACGGAAAACCACAAAGAAATTGCAGCGGGCAAAGTCCCCGTATGCCCACCATCCAGAGTCAACCACGGTTGACACTTGAGCGTCTTTGCCCCAGACTTTCTTTTCAGTCTGTTAAAAATGTGTATGCGGGGAAATGGACACATTGTTTAAAGAACAGTTGAATACATTGTTTAAAAATAACATTTCAGCTCTAGCTACAGTCTCCCTCTGGCTCCACTCCCCAACCCTGATACCTATCTCCTCCAGAATGAACAGTCATTGGAATTTAGCATGACTCTACAGACTCTTTGCTTTTTAAATTTTGGACCAGGTTGTCTGGGTTTGAATCCTGACTCTGTCACTTCCTATTTTTAGGTCTTTGAGAAGGTCCTTAGACTCCATGCCTCCGTTTCCCCATGTGTAGAATGGGATTATGTTGCCTGTCACACAAGGATGTAGTGAAGAATACATGAGTCCAAAGTGCTTAGAATAGCACCTGGCACAGAGAAGTACTGGGAATGTAGCAATTGTAAGTAAACACAAAATACATAATGTTGTTTTATGTGTTTTGATTTAGAAAATAATGTACTGAAGTATATATACATTTTTCTGCAGCTTAATTTTTTTCATTTTTGAAACCCAGCCGTGGTGGTATATGTAGATCAAATTCATTCCTTTTACCTGTAGTATGATATTCCATCTGTATGTATTCATTACCCTATTGATGCTCATGGAACTTTTTACTTAAAAAAATTTTTTTTAAATGTTTATTTATTTTTGAGAGAGAGAAAGACAGAACATGAGCAGGGAGGGGCAGAGAGAGAAGAAGGCACAGAATCTGAAGCAGGCTCCAGACTCTGAGCTGTCAGCACAGGGCCTGATGCGGATGCTCGAACTCATAAACTGCGAGATCATGACCTGAGCTGATGTCAGACACCCAGCCAACTGAGCTACCCACGCACCCCATTTTTTACTTTTTAAAAAAAATATTACAAATAACAACACAGTGAACATTCTAGAGCAATGTCTTTGTGCATTATTATGTAGGATTATTTCTCTGGGTTCATATCAAGAAATGAATGAATGGATGGATGGATTTCAGGTGACTGCCAAATTGCCTTCCAAAGTCATCTCTCCGTTTAATTAAGACTCATAATTATCTTCTGGGGCGCCTGGGTGGCTTAGTCGGTTGAGCGTCCGACTTTCGCTTAGGTCATGATCTCGCGGTTCGTGGGTTCGAGCCCCACGTCGGGCTCTGTGCTGACAGCCAGCTCAGAGCCTGGAGCCTGTTTCAGTCTCTGACTCCCTCTCTCTCTGACCCTCCCCTGCTCACGCGCTCTCTCTCCTAGAAATAAAGAAAACATTAAAAAAAAAATTTAAAGACTCATAATTATCTTCTAACTAAACTGATGGCTCTGTCTCCATTCTTACCTTCCCCCATCTTCAACACTGTCAGCAAGGTCTTTCAAATTCAGAAGTGTAGTCCTGTGATTTCTATTTTTGAAACCTTTCAGTGGATTATCATTGCTTAGAGAAAGTTAGAAGTCCTTAGAATGACATGGAAAACCTTTAACTTAGTCTTTCCTAATTCTCTGAGTGGATCCCCAGTCCCCCACATCCACCTGTTTCAGATACACTAACATGTTGTTGGAAAAGGGAACATGGAGCTTGATTCTGGGTAGGCTCCAACAAATAGTTTCTAGTTATATAGGTAGAAAAACATTTAAACAGCAGGTCTATTCTGTAGCCAAGTTAATTTACTTAGGTAAATGTTCTATATGTTGGGAAAAGGACATCTATCGGTATTACGCTTATAAAATTATGTTTAATATTAGGTGAAATTTTTAGTTGGGTGTCTTAATTCTACCTTTTTTTCAAAGATACTTTCTACTAGTCATACTTGGTACAGTTTCTCAGAGATAGTTTTAGATTTTATCTGCAGATAATATGCTCTTTTAGGATCTTTCTCAACCAGACAGGTAGTTTATTTAAAGAGTTCTGAAATGTATGACACCCAGAGGAATTTATTAGCATTTAAAAGGAGCATTGTTTATTTGATAGGAGGCAGGTAGGGAAGAGTGGATGCGGGCGATAATTTATTGCCAGTCTACTATATTTCTGTTAGCATGTATTATTTCCCTAGTATACTCATCTGTTTTCATTTTATGTACAAAATATACATAGTCAACTTTGATGTATGGTAATACGGAACAGGAAACACTCAAATTACTTATGTAGTATTTTATAAATAATCTGCTTCCACACACAACCCCCTCCACAGCTCCCATTAGCTGCAATAGGAGCTAAAATGTAACTGGTTTTAGTTACCTGTTTTGTTTTGTTTTGTTTTGTTTTTTTCTGTTGTTAGGGTGTCAGCCACCACAGCGTAAGCCATTATTGTAAGGGTAAGTAAAAAGTCAGATGACCAAGAGAACCTGGTGCCCTGATAATCAGGGTTTGATTAATCAGGGCTTGTTTATATTGGTTTTAGAACCTCTAAGTTGAATCTTAGTTTCAGTTGTTTCCAGATTATTTCTTTAAAAAAATGTTTTTTAAGTTTATTTATTTATTTTGAGAGAGAGAGAAAGCGAGAGAGCGAGCACAAGTTGGGGAGGGGTAGAGAGGAGAGACAGAATCCCAAGTGGGCTCTGCACTGTCAACACAGAGCCTGATGGCGGGCTCAAACTCACGAACTGTGAGATCGTGACCTGAGCCAAGATCGAGCTGGACACTTAACTGACTACCCCTGTTTCCACATTATTTGTACGTAAACAAAAAAAAAGAGTACCATTTATTCCGTAGGCTTAAAGTTTTGTTTTATGAATATATGCTAAGAACTTTTAAACAGTTGTTGCATCAGTATAAAATAAAATATACACAGGTATGTGAAATTCAATAAGCTGATGATAGAAAGTTTGAGAAAAACATCTTCATAAGTAAATATATTAATAACTTCTAATTTTTAACTCTTAAGGTGATCCATTTTAAATAACTTATTTAAAGTGTGCATGCTTTTGCAGTAGTATTTAAAAATAGAGACTTTTCCAGTAACGGTCATTTAAATCTATTTGAATCTAAATCCATGAGAATAAGTTTTCTTTTTGCCTAGAGCTCGTGTTAAAGCCTATTGGGTTAGCATTATAAAAGGGCTTTGAATGCCATATTAAAATTTATAGCAATGGTTTGTAAACTTTTATCTCTCCATCATTCATTCATATGTTTAATATGCAGTGTTTAGCATCTATTTTTCCAGGTAGTAACTCAAGGATCATAGATCTATTGAGAAGGGCAAAAGGGTACATGCAGAGTTTTTGAGTTTGGGAACAGTTACCAGATCAAGTTTGTGTTTGTGAACGATAACTGAGGTAGCATAAATCAATTGAAACGTTGGAGGGGAAGAGAGACTTGAGTTAGGGAGACCAATTTGAGAAGCTTTTTACCTCAACCTAAGTGAGAGATGAAAGTCTGAACTACCATAGTGGCAATTGGAACAGAGTTGGCCGATAGTGGTTTCTAGGTTAAGGAACTTGGTGGGAGCATTAAAAGAACAGAATGTAAGGGGTCTGATTTTCTTAAGTAATCACTTTCTTAAGTTGAAACAATACATACTCCAAAGTTAGGAAAGGGGGAGATTCTGCTGACCATTTGGTAATCAGATTCTCCTTACCTCTGTCACACTTGGATACTGGTGAACCAGAGCATTGTGTTGATTAAATGCTAAAATAACAAATGTTAGTATGTCTCATAGAGCCACTGAGTTCCCGAAGTCTATTCTCATTTGACATACTTCTTTTTTCCTTCTTTTGTTCAGCTTGATTGCTTCCCATTACTCTGTCTTCTAGATTACTAATTCATTCCTCTGCTTCTTCCAGCCTATTATTCATTCTATTAAGCATATTCCTAATTTCCTTTATTGAGTCCTTTTTTCTCTCCTGTGTTATTCCTTATCTCTGTGTTAAGGGTCTCACTCGTGTCTTTCAAAATCGTTTTCTGTGTAGAAGTTACTTTTGGTTATTTTTAGTACTCTTAAGAAAACTGAAAAACCTTTAAAATAGGTAGTAAAAGACAAGTTTTTAGCTCTACCTCAGATTATATCATATTAATGCTAAAAAAGGAAAGCTTCTTAGAAATCTGAGAACTGACATGTCTGTGGGAAATTTTAAGTAAATTATCATTCGTATATTTTATTGTAATATAATATTTATTTCTTTAAGGTAAAAGATAGTTTCATAAGTAAAAGCCACACCTTTGATTTACCTACTTATCTTCTTTACTGAGACAGCTGAAACTACTTTATGATACCTAGTGTCCCAGATCTTTGTGGTAGTTGCTTAACAACAAACCAGTAAGCCAGTGACTTTTCCTAGTTTGTATTATGATACAGTATCTCTAGTTGTTTCAAGTAATAGGTTTCATGAAATTCTCAAAAGCAGTATCATCAGCTTACAAAAACAAATACCAGAGAGGGATGTATTTATCTGTTACTATATAACAAATAGCAGCTTAAAGCAATAAACATTATCTCAAAATTGCTGAGGATCAAGTATTTGGGAGCAGGTTAGCTTGGTTGGTCTTTCTGGCTCAGAATCTCTAAGGGGCTGAATCATCTAGAGGCTTGACTGGAGCTGGAAGATCTGATCCCAAGAAGGCTCCTCACTCACAAGGCCGTTGGCGAAACGCTGAGGCCTTGCTGACTGTTGTCAGGAAGCCATGGTTCCTTGCCATATGCACCTTTTCATGGGGATGCCTGAGTGTCTTAATAATATGGTGGGTGGCTTTCCTCATTGCAGGTGATCCAAGGTACAGGTCAATGAGGAAGCCACAATGCTCTATGACCCAGTCTTGGAAGTGTCAAGTTGTCCCTTCTGCCATATTTCTGTGGCTGAGAGTGAGTCATAATGACCAGCCCTCACCAAAGGAGAGGAGAATTAAGTGCCATTTCTTGATGGAAGGAATTTCAAAGAATTTGTGAACATCGTTTAAAACTACAACAAATGATGTATTTGGAAATTAGACAATAAGCTATGGAATCTCCAATTTGAAAGTAGTTGCTGACTAGTCTTCATTTTAATAGAATTGCCTCTAAATTAAAGATATTTCTATAAAATACTACCTTAAGTTAAATTTTTAGATGGTTCAGTGATACTTCTTTTTCTGTTTGGACTCTTGGTAGATTTTTATAATAAAAGAACAAGACCTAAGCCTTTGGAGTTTCTCATTCAACAGAAGAAAACATTACTTAATTGCAAATGACCTAGTTTTATTTCTGAAATGGTTGAGTTTCCTAGTGTAAATGATCTGCAAGTAGAAAAGAAAGTGTATGAGTTACTTATTTATGGTGGAGAGAGACCTTTCAGCATTCAGAAACTGTTAGTGTGTGACTATTGTGATGTTTCCAAGGTTAGGTACTATAGAAACCAGAACTGGCCATGGTGGTGATGATGATAACGGTAGTAGCTAACCTTTATGGAGCACTTTCCACATGCCAGGCTCAATTTTAAGTGGGTTATATTAGTTAATTTCATACCTTGTGAGGTAGTACTGTTACTACACCCTATCTAGCTTATGTGGGTATGAGGCACAAGGGATTAGGTCATTTGCCCAGCCATACATCTAGTAAAAGGCAGGCCAGGCCCACCATTCACATGGTTGTCTAGGCTCTACAACCATGTGCAATTCATAGCATATGCTGAACATTCAGTAGCTATTAAAGGAGTGAATCTGAATGTATAGACACTGAGTAAAGATCAACATCTTTCTCTAATATGTGTGTCCAGCGTAGGGGGTGTTCCTTTGTTGTAATTTTTTTTGCAGTTCTATTTGGCATGTTTTCTTTTTTAACTTTATTTTTATTTATTATTTTATTATTATTGACATGTTTTATGTTTTAAGTGTACAGAGTATTGATTTAACAATTCTATATTCAGTGCTCACCATTGTAAGTGTAGTCACCATACAATGCTATTTCAATATTATTGACTGTATTCCCTAGACTGTATGTACTGTTCATCTTCATGACTTATTTATAAGTGGAAGTCTGTACCTCTCAATCCCCTTCCTTTCTTTTGCCCATTTCCCAATGACCTTCCCTCTGGCAAACCACCAGTTTGTTCTCTGTATTTTTTTGTTCATTTTTGTTTTTTAGATTCCATGTATAAGTTGAACCCTATAACGTTTACCTTTCTCTGACTTATTCCACTTCATATAATATCCTCTAGGTCCCAGGTATCCTTTGATAGATGGATGGATAAAGAAGAAACGGGTGTGTGTGTATAAAAAAATATATATTTTTATATATGAAAATGGAGTATTATTCAGCCATAAAAAGAATGAGATCTTGCCATTTGGGACACAATGGATGTTCCTTTTTTCTTAATCTACTTTGCTAATTGTCTCAGGTTGCCTTGCTCATAACCAGTGTTCTGAGTAAGGGGACACGCGCCAAGACAGTGTGGCTCAGCAGTTAGAGGCCCCTCTTCTGAATCTAGTGCCGTTGCCGATTAGTTTTGGAGCCTTGGAAAATTTTCTGACCTTTGTTAAAATAATAAAATTTTCTCAGTTGAAAGATGTGATGATAAGAATACTTACTTTAAAAGAATAGTTGTAGGCATTAAATGAAGTTATGTATTGTATGTGGCACATAAACCTGAATACCTGATATTTATTATTTAATTCTTGTGTTCATTGTAATGTTACTAATCCTCTCGTTTTTTCTACTTGGAATAGGAATAGTGACTTCCTTAAGATCAAAGCTGCACTGTTTTTGCAAAGTAAGATTTAAAAGTTATTTCTATTACTCTTATGGAGAATTTGTTTAAACTGTGGTATGGTATCTCCTCTTTTTCTTTCTGGGCTTTTCCTTTTGGCCATAGAGTCTGTATGAGCTGCTGTTTCAGGGAAGCAGGACCCCAAGTGCCTGGGCAGTGGTAGCGGTCTAATGTGAATCATTGACTCACTGAATTGTCATTGTAGAGACGCTAAGGCTGAGAGGAAAAACCCAGGTTTGAGTCAACAGGGTAGAAAATGGGGGGAAAAAGAAAATGGGGAGACTAGATTAGGTTGGTAGGTTTGAAAGAGAGACAAAAGTGGAACCCTTAAGAAATTCCCTGAGCCAGAAGGAATGTGTTCAGGCACTTTCAATAGACCACCTACAGATTCTAATAGATGCTATTAACACATTCAGTTATCTTTTGCGATGTGGTTATTTGCATTGTTTGCAAACTTTGTTTTTTTAACTGTGTACAGAAATGATATTTGGGATGGGGTTTTTTGATAAGCGTAATGTTGTTAAGGTAGCATAAAAAGCTTTAAAATGTTAATCAAATTTATAGTTATCTATGGGATATTTCTCTAACAGAAAAATGTTTTCTTTACAACTGTCTACTTGATGGTAGTTCTCCTCGTTACATTTTTAGGTTTAAAAGCATCAACTGGAAACAATTTGCATTTGAAAATTGGAGCAACACAAAGATTTGATTCTGTGGAGTGACTAGCAAACAAGCAATGTCATCTAACGAACAAGAAAGGCTTTTGTGTTATAATGGGGAAGTCCTTAGTTTTCGATTGTCTAAAGGAGATGTTGCAGGTAAAGGGCCTGCAGAAATAAGCGTATTACATGTCAGGAGAATGATATTTGACAGAGGAACAAGAGCATTTGTTCAGAAGTCCACTGGATTTTTTATGCTAAAGGAAGAAAACTCTCACTTAAAAATTATGTGTTGCGACTGTGTGTCAGATTTCAGAACTGGAATTAATCTCCCTTATATTATGATACAATGCAATGAAAAGAACACTTTCAAATATTTTCTTCTGTTTCTTCACAGTAAAAATAAATTTGAAAAATGTTTGAGTTTTAGACTAGGTTATGAGTTGAAAGATGGTGTAAGGGTCCTTAATGGCCCTTTAGTTTTGTGGAGACACGCAGAAACATTCTACTTTATCTCTTCTTTAAACAGCACAGTTATGACCGTGTCTGTTAATTTTTCATCTGTTGAGTGGGGAGGAGAGATTGAAAATCTAGGTATGGTGTTACTAGGGCCAAAGACATGTTTTTTATCTGAGAAAGGATGCACCCAAAAGCTTTCAAAATCGGATTATGCAATTTGGAATACCGAATTTTGTGTATACTCCCTTGAAAATGAAGAAGTCGTAAGTGATGCATACATTATCCCTCCTGCTTATAGCAGTGTGGTAACTTGTGTGCATGTCTGTGCAACTGAGAATGTCAACGACCAGTTAAGAATGTCTTTGATTGCCCTTACTCGAAAGAATCAGCTGATTTCATTTCAAAATGGTACTCCGAAAAGTGTGTGCCAGCTTCCCTTTGGAGACCCTTGTGCAGTTCAGCTTATGGATTCAGGTGGAGAAGAACTTTTCATCGTATCCTTTAGGTCCGGTGACGTTTGTGCTGTTTGGAAGAAGAACTTTCAGGTATAGTCCCTTAATGTCATAATCATTCAATTGGTGTAGCCTTAGACCTATTAAGCATTTATATGTTTCGTAGAGCTTATCCTGAAGTCTTATTATCCAAATCAGTTATTAGTACTGCACTTAAAATCATGTATGTTGCATCATTCTTATTTCTTAAAGTTTTCCAAATACAACCTGATGAAGGTTTTGCCTTGGTGTTTTGAGTCATAAAACCTTTGAGTTGTTTGGAAGTATATAGACATATAGCTATAATTATTACATATTTATTTGTCTTTTTATATAACTATTTCTAATTTTTATTAATGTGACAGTTGATTTTTTTATGTTTAGTTACTTATTTTGAGAGGGGGAATGAACAGGGGAGGGACAGAGAAAGAGAATCCCAAGCAGGCTCGCACACTAGCAGCACAGAGCCTAATGCAGATTTCAAATTCATGGACTGTGAGATCATGACCTGAGCAGAAATCAGGAGTCAGACACTTAACCGACTGAGCCACCCAAGGCACCCTTAGAGAATTTTCTTTTATTGGCTACTGGAAAACTTAAAATCATATATATGCTTTGCATTGTCATTCCTATATTTCTTTTAGACAGCACTATTCTAGACCTGTAGATTGTAAATGTGTGCGCGCAAGCATGAGTGCACAGCTCTATGGTATTTGCATGTTGAGCACATTCTTATTACTAATGTCTTCATATAGTTAATTATACTCCATGATACTCATGGTGAGGGTGGGAAGAAGGGAGGATATGGGTATACAGATAAGCTTCCTCCCTGCATAAGTGAAAAATCACAGCTTTGGAAACTAGCCTTATACGGGGCAGATTCATATTTAGACTGAAGTCTTACTTATAGTCCTACTCTAAAGCATGCCACCCTCTGTCATCTAGATGATGTGTCTGTGCTGCTGCCATGATTCCGAATGGGAGTTTTAGCTTTTCTGCCTGAGGGATAGGGGGTATTTCATCCCCATGGTATTAGTTTCTGGGGGACCACTCTGGAGGCTTAAAGCTTTAGGGACCTTTATGGAGTTGTCTTGTGTTTTAAACTTTGGGTCTCATGTTTTGGTATAAACTGATCACATCTTTCCAGTGGGCTAGGATTGTTCTAGGTACCCCACTCTTAGGCACCATCCCCTTTTGTGTCCCTAATAATGGCTATGTTCTCCTCCACCAAGGTTTGGGGTATTAAGCTCATCTTGACTCTTAAGTTATTCTGCTTTGAGAGCTTTTAAGTGTTTACCTTGCAGTTACGTAATGCAATTGAATTTCTTATGTAATTGGTTTGATCACAGATACATATCCACTAAGGCTTATGAGAGTGAGGGCCATCTTTAAATGTGTTGGAGAAAGAATCTTCACTAGAGTTATTCATGAGAAATGTTAGCATTTCTGAAAGAGTCATGAGAAATGTTCACATTTATAAATTATAAAATTTTAATAGAGAAATCAGGAACATGATAAACCCTGGAGAAACATGGATAAAATATTAAATTTAAGTACCTTGGTATTTATAAAATTGTTGTTTAATTCCTTATGTTATCTGATTCCCCAATATCTTTAGTTTTTAGTGTTTACACTACCATTTTCATTACTTGTTTATAAGATTGAAGATGACACATTACACCTACAGGCAACAGAAGAATTTAGTTTATTTTACATCTGATTTTTTTTCTTTCTCTATTCCTTCTTTTCCACTCTCTTTCTTTCAGGTTGCTGCTCAGTGGAAAAAAATTAGCTCAGTACTGATAGATGACTTCATAGGAAGTGGAACTGAACAAGTACTGTTACTTTTTCAGGACTCCATGAATTCAGATTGCCTGAGTTCATTTACAGTAACAGATCTTTGCAACATAAACTATTTAGTAAGTTATGTATACTTTTTACATATGTTACTTTAAGAACCATTTCATTTTTTTAATTTTTTTAAATAGTTTATTGTCAAGTTGGTTTCCATATAACACCCAGTGCTCATCCCCACAAGTGCCCTCCTCCATGCCTATCACCCCCCCTTCCTCTCTCCCCCACCCCCATCAGTCCTCAGTTTGTTTTCAGCATTTAAAAGTCTCTCATGGTTTGCTTCCCTCCCTCTCCCCAGCCATTTCTTCTCATTTCCCTCCACCATGGTCCACCATTAAGTTCCTCCTAATCCACCTATACGTGCAACCATATTTTAAGAACCATTTTAGAACATTGGAGTGCTTTAAAGCTTTTGACCCAGTATTTAAATATTTGTAATTTCATACAGTAAACTTCTTGAACTTTAAAAATATATAGATTGAATTTTTAAATATTTAAAATATTTATTCATTTATTTTGAAAGGGAGAAAGAGAGAGCACATGAGCAAGCAGGGGAGGGGCAGAGAGAGAGAGAGGGAGAGAGAGAATCCCAAGCAGGCTCTATGCTGTCAGTGCAGCACCAGATACGGGGCTTGGTGCCATGACCATGAGATCATGACCTGAGCCAAAATCAAGAGTTGGACCCTTGGGTTGCCTGGATGAGTCAGTTGTTCGAGTGCCTGACTCTGGCTCAAAGCCCCGCATCGGGCTCTGTGCCGACAGCTCAGACCCTGGAACCTGCTTTGGATTCTGTCTCCCTCTCTCTCTCTGCCCCTCCTGCACTTGTGTGCACTCTCTCTCTCTTTCAAAAATAAACAAACATTAAAAAAAGGAGTTGGGCCCTTAACTGATTAAGCTACCCAAGTGCCCCCTAATTGACTATACTTTTGATATAAATTTGAAATACAGTGTTCACTCAGATGAACAGTAATACTGTAAACTAACTTTATCATTGCTTCTGAAAATTCACATTGTATACCAATAAACATGATAATATTGGATTAATTAAGGAATAAAAATGAAACTGCTTTATTAAAGAAGTAACAGTTCATAATATCTTAAGATCTTGGGCAGAAGGCAAATAATACCCCTGAAGTTTCAGACCTATATAAAATATCTGAAAAAAAAATTCTGAGTCTCAGTTTTTTTCTTAATAAAATGAGGACAATTCTTATTTTCTCTAGTTGTGGGATTTTATAAAAATCTAGTAAACTGATACTTTTTGAAACCGTATACAAATGTTAGGTCAGTGGTGGCAGCAATAATAGTTGTTTCTTTCAGTTGCAAGAAATGATGAGGAAATATATATTTTTTTGTTACATATAAGAGTGTGTAACATAGAAAACTGCCCTTTGGATAAGCTTTAATTGTGTTTTGTTAATCCTATGAATTTTCAACTTATTTCAAAATTTCAGTTTTAGTGTGTTTTGTTATTTCGTAGAGTGGAACATCGGATTGCAATGAAGATGACTTATTTGAAGACAAACAAAGGAATTGTTACTTGATGGTTCCACCTCTGGAAAGAAGATTGAAAGTTGGTGTCTGTTTGCTTTTTGTTTTTACTTCTTTGGGTTAGTGATATTCTAAATGAAGGAAAGAACATTGAGAGAAGGGATCTTAATGTATAAGCAATTCAGTGATTGGGAAAAAATGGTATATCAAAGGATCTTTGCCTTTTTAGTACCTCTGTAAGAACTATTGACATGAGCCCTGGGTGTTGTATGGAAACCAACTTGACAATAAACTATGAAAGAAAAAAAAGTAGAAAGATCCAACCCCAAAAAGAAACTGTTATGACATTACTTCTAAATGTATTATCTGAAAATGATAACTTTTAGTAATAAGACTAAATTTAATAAGACTTATAAAACATATGAAGTTCACTTTTTAAAACACTTTTTTTCTGATCTTAAGGATCAGAAAGCATACCAATAGTATCTCTTTTAAAAGAGAAGCAAATATGATGAATTACAACATGTATGAAACATGAACAGTTTGCCCTCAAATTTTCCCTACAGAGCTCTCTTAAAGAGTTTTTGTTTTTTGCCAAATGTATGAAGGTATTGCATATTGTCTATAAAATACTCAGACTGTTCAAAGAAATATTAAAAAGAAACTAACCTATGATTCTGCTACTGAGTTATAACCGATTTTAACACTTTGCCATGTATATTCTTGTAGATTTTTAAAAATGAATATATGTAAATTTAAGTAGAAAGTTGATCATATGATGCATGTTCTTTTGTAACCTGCCTTTTTTCATTCATAAAATTTTTAAATATTCAAAAAAGTTCAAAGAATAGTACTGTAGCTATCTCCAGTCCTCACATGGATGTAACTAGTGGTACTTTAAAAAAAAAAAAATTCTGTTTGCTTCATCTGTGCTTTTTTGTGCGTATGTATGTACATTTTTGCAGAACCATTTAAAAGTTGCAAATACTGTAATACTTCACTCTTATGTATTTTAGCAGGGATTGCCTAAAAAATAAGGATATACTCCTATGTAACCACACCACACTATTATTAAAGTTAGAAAATTAGTAATTTTTAATCTTATTTACTGTTCTCTCTGTATTCAGATGTCTTTAATTGCCACAAAAATTTTTAAACTTTTTAAATTTATTCTGAGAGAGCACGAGCAGGTGAAGGGCAGAGAGAGACAGAGAAAGACATATAGAACCTGAAGCAGGCTGCAGACTCTGAGCACAGAGCCTGACGTGGGGCTCGAACCCACAAACCGTGAGATCATGACCTGAATCAAAGTTGGATGTTTACCTGACTGAGCCACCTAGTTGCCCTAAAAATGATTTTTATGTATGCTTTTTGCAGGATCTGGTCAAAGTTTACACTTGTACCTGATCATTATATGTCTTTTTGGTCTTTTTATCTAGAATAATGCCCTCCCCGCTTTTTTACAGTGAGACTAATGAGGAGGCAAGGCCAGTTGTCCTTCCTTTTGGATTTGTCTGTTTCCTTGTGTTGTCATTTTACTTTTTCCTCTATCCCTGGCAAACTTTTTTTTGTAAAGGGCCACATAGTAAATATTTGTACTTCGCAGGCTCTTCAAACATTTTTGCAACTATTTTCATTATTAATGTGAATTTACTAAATGTTTATTGGACACGTATTAGATATGAGTGTTGGCAGTAGATAATAAAATATCATAGTGAGCATGGAACCATAAAGGAAAAGATTGGTTACATTAAACTTTTGTGCCCTGGGGGCGCCTGGGTGGCTCAGTCAGTTAAGCGGCTGACTTATGGGCAGGACATGATCTCGCAGTTCACGAGTTCAGTCCCTGTATCCTGCTCTGTGCTGACAGCTCAGAGTCCAGAGCCTGCTTCAGATACTGTGTCTCCCTCTCTCTCTGCCCCTACTCCAGTTGTGCTTGTTCTTTCTTCTCTCTCAAAAAAATAAACATTAAAAAAAAACTTTTGTGGTCTGAACAAAGTAAAATATATAAAAAGACAAAGTATGTAAATAGAAATTGTAACAGGCGATAAAGGATTAATTTCCTTGGAGGCGTTTGGGTGGCTCAGTCAGTTGAGCATCCGACCCTTGATTTCGGCTCAGGTCATGATCCCAGGGTCATGGAATCAAGCCCTGTGTCTGGCTCTGCACTAAGTGTGGCGCCTGCTTAAGATTCTCCTTCTGCCCTTCTCTCCCTCACTCTCTCTCTTAAAAACATGATTAATTTCCTTAATGTGCATTCTGAAACAGTATTGCTGAGAATGTAAAGTGGTTCAACCTTCTCAGAAGGAAAATTGTTATAGCTATTAAAATGTGGACTGGAAATAGCTTCTTACTCTCGCCCTTTTACTTCTAGAAATCTGTTCCAAGAATATACTTGTACAGTAAACAAAGGTGATTTCATAGGAATGTTTACATAGTATTTATAGATAACAAAAATCAGTCAATCTAAATATCCATCATTAGGAGTTTGGTAGATCAGTTATGATACACCTGAACTATGGAATACCAAGAAGCTGTCAGAAAGAATAAGGTAGATCTTTATACTGATTTAGAAATGATGCGAAAGTAATTTAATTTATGAAAGTATGACTTTTAGAAATTCTACCTCTGGTAATGTGTCACCTAATTTATTTGGACCAATTTTTCTGATAAAAACAAGTTAAAATCATAGTTGAAATATGTTTTTGAAGTCTCCCTAAAAGTTTCAAAGAGCTGAAAAATATAAGAATAAATTATCAGCCAAACTCTAAAGACTGGAGCCCAGAGAGCACGCAGAGAGCACTGATTCTGCTTTTGCCCTGGGAGCACCCTGGGTGGCCGGCAGAAACCAACACAAAGTCCTCTCTCAAAACACATGTTTATCCGAGGCCTCTTATCAATCTCACAAGTAATTTTTCAAAGAAAATGAGCCACCCACAGAATAACTCAGCACATACAAAAGGCATTGTGAGCAGCTATTCACTGAAAATCACCAAATAGCATTTCTATGAACTAAAAATACATTGAAATAAAAAAAGTCTCATCAGATAAGTTTAACAGTTGACTCAGAGATGTAGAGGAAAGAAGCAAACCAAACTATGTTAGAAAAAATTATTCAGAAGGTAACACAGAGTCATAGGAAAATATAAAAAGAAACACAGAGGGGAGGCAGGAACGTATGAAAGTGAATAAGACATAGTTGCATGTCCATTTTATTTTCAGGTATCCACGTTATTAGTAGCTCTCAGTTTGGATAAAAACATTTCCAAGTGTTGGAAGGCCTTTTAGCGATGAACAAGTCTACCCTCCTCCTCCCCCATTTTACATATGAGGAAACAGCCAGACCGGTTAAGTGATGGGTAGAACTCAAAACAGTGTCTGTTTCACCGTTCTTTCCCTATGAAATCTGTTTTCCAACCGGATGGTCAGAAGGGAACGAGTTGGAGGGGAAATGGGGAGACTGGGACCTTGGAGAAACTTGTGCATGCGTACAGGGGTGTTCCCAGCAGCACTGTCTGTGACAGTCCATGCCTGGGCATAGCCCAGATGTCCATCAGCAGGAGAAAGGAGTGGTGAGCTGGAATAGTCCTATGATGGAATACTACGGAGCAGTGAAAGTCTACAGCTGCTAGTGACAAATGGGGTGACTCTAAAACCTGGTACATACAGAATGATTCCATTCATAAAAGGTTCCAAAGCAAAACACACACAAAAAAACGTAAAAATATTCTTTAGGAAATTGAGTGATGATAAAATTACATAGACAAAGAAGTTACCTTAAGACACCAGGGTAGTATTGCCTCCTTTGGAAAAAGAGAAGTTGGTGACCAGGGAGAGTCCACAGGCAGCCGGCTGTGTATGGTTGTTTGGGCATCGACTTCATGATTAGTTTGTAAAATGTTTTCTGTATTATGCACTCTTCTCCATGTATGAGAGAAATCACAATAAAAACAAGAAAGCAAGATCTGGTGTCTTGTACTGCACTATGTTCCTGGTTTTGGCTTGGGGGTGGGTTTTACTTCTTTGCAGTGAGGAGAAAGAGCATTCCTTAATATACACATGGAAAAGTTCTAGAAAGGTAAATACTATGTTGGCTGTACAAATGGCATTGAGGGTCTAGGAAGTAAAGTTGAAATGTATTTTTATGCTGTTTAAATGTGCTACCATGTGGTTATTTTTATAGTTTTATAATAGTACTTCACATAGAATATTTGAGTAATCTAATGATTCACTATTTAGCCCTGGAGTTGGGGGTGGGGGGGTGCATATTGAGGAGAGTAGGGAAGAGAGAACACGGATAATTTTTGAGGGTGCCTTCATGGTCAGTCTGCCCACATATTCCTCTCTTCTACTCCCCACCCCTCCAGTATTCCCCAATCAGTCTCCCTCTCTGATGTGTACTCCCTCTCCTTAAGTCACAGTTACTCAGGGAATGAGTGATAGAGCTTGAATATTGTGGAGCCCACAGAAATAGGTCAACAGATCAAGTTTTAAGATATTAGCTAGACACTTTACATACTTTGTGCAATGAGGTAAGATCTAATTAAGTCTTCACATTCTAACTTCTGGTCACCAATATAAAGTAGAGGAATTGACCTGACTTAAACTGTAATTTGAAAGAAAGGAATTTAAAAACAGGATGCATTTTGTTTTTTCAGTCTAGAAAAACATGTTACATTAAAAGCTGGATTTATACGTAAGTAGTCTCAGATATCCATCTGAAATGAATAGCTTCTATTGGTCCAAAGACATGACTTTAAATTTTCAGTAGCAAAATGTATTTCATGAATGTTCCATCCTTAGTTGTGAAATCTATTTATTTGGTATAATAAAAGGAATGGATTGCTCTTTGCCCAATTCAGAGCCAAATTTTTTTTGTTTTCTGTAGTTAAGAGTTGACCCTAGAACTGAGTTTATTAGCACAAAATTAAACTTGTAACCGTTTCGGGGCTATGTGTTATCTTTAAACTTTGCTATAGGGGCACCTGGGTGACTGACTCAGTCAATTGAGCAGCTGAGTCTTGATTTCGGCTCAGGTCATGATCCCAGGGTCATGGGATCAAGCCCCACATTGGGCTCTGTGCTGAGCGTGGAGCCTGCTTAGGGTTCTCTCTCCATCTGCCTCTCTTCCCAGCTTGCATGCACACTCTTGCACTCTCTCTCTCAAATAATAAATAAATAAATTTGCTATAGGTGTTATATTGCACAGAGGATTTCAGATAGTATCAAATTAAAAGTGACTAATTTCTACTCATGATGATATCTTTGCTTTTGGAAACAAATTATTTCAACAACAAGAAAAACAGTTTTCTTGTGGGGTAGGGTGTTGGTAGGCCTTAATTTTTATTCGTATTGATTACATATTCATGTTTGTATTAATTGATTAATTCAGTGGTGAAATGCATGCTAATATATTGGCATTCTCTCAGTTTGATACATAAACTCTACTACAGTTACTTGCTCTGTTTTTTCCTTTATAATTACTTAACGTTTATGAATAAAATAGTTTTGCCCTGAGAAGTAGTCTCTGCTTTTTTACAGAAAAATGAATTAAAGACAAATTTGGAGAAAGTGCTTTCTGAATTAATGGTATTGTCAGATTTCATTTGAAATGATGTCTCTGGCAATGATTTTTATTTCTACTTTACAGGTTGGTTCAGCTTCTATTCAGGAATTACAGCAGCATCTCTTGCTTAAGGAAAACATTATTTTAAAATCTTGGAAAATGTTAATAAACCTGATTCAAGGGAAAGATGAAAGTACATCAGGTGCAGAGAAGGTAAAATTCATCATGTGACCATTTTATCATTTTATGAATTGAAAATCTACAAGCTCTGGGAAGAGTCATTTATTTTTTTTACTTTTTACTTTTTCCCTTTTTTAAAAAATGTAAATTTTAGTTAACATAGAATGCAATATCGGTTTCAGGAGTCAAATTTGGTGATCCATCACTTACATATAACACCCAGGTGTTACAAGTGCCCTTCTCAGTACCCATCACCCATCTAGCTCATCTCCCACCCACCTCCCTCTGTAAACCCATAGTTTGTCCTCTGTCATTAAGAGTCTCTTGTGGCTGGTTTCACCCTCTTCTCCTTTATTCCCCCCACTTCACTTATGTTCATCTGTTTTGTTTCTTAAATTCCACATATGAGTGAAATCATATGGTATTTGACTTTCTCTGCTTACTTCACTTAGCATAATACATTCTAGTTCCATCTATGTCATAGTAAATGGCAAGATTTCATTCTTTTTGATGGCTGAGTAATATTCCAGTGTGTGTGTGTGTGTGTGTGTGTGTGTGTGTGTGTGTGTGTGTGTACCACATTTTTATCCATCAGTTGATGGACATTTGGGCTCTTTCCATAATTTGGCTATTGTTGATGATGCTTCGTAAACATTGGGGTGCATGTACCCCTTTCAAATCTGTATTTTTGTTTCCTTTGGGTAATTCCTAATAGTGCAATTGCTGGGGTATAAGGTAGTTCTGTTTTTAGTTTCTTGAAGAAAACCTCCATATTCTTTTCCAGAGTAGCTGTACCAGTTTGCATTCCCACCAACAGTGCAAGAAGGTTCTCCCTTCTCTGCATCCTTGCCAACACCTGTTGTTTCTTGTGTTGTTAGTTAGCCATTCTGACAGATGTGAGGTGGTATCTCACCATGGTTTTGATTTGTATTTCCCTGAGGATGAGTGATGTTGAGCTTCTTGTTATGTGTCTGTCAGTCATCTGGATATCTTCTTTGGAAAAGTGTTTATTCATGTCTTCTGCCCATTTCTTCACTGGATTTATTTGTTTTTTGGGTGTTGAGTTTGATAAGTTCTTTATAGATTTTGGATATTAATACTTTATCTGATATGTTGTTAGCAAATATCTTCTCCCATTCCGTAGGCTGCCTTCTATATTTGTTGATTGTTTCCTTCTCCGTGCAGAAGCTTTTTATCTTGATGAGGTCCCAGTAATGTTTGCTTTTGTTTTCCTTGTCTCTGGCACCATATCTAGTAAGCTGTTCTGGCCAAGGTCAAAGAGGTTTATCCTCTTTGTGTTATCTTCTTTTTGTGTTATCCTCTAGGATTTTGATGGTTTTCTGTCTCACATTTGGGTTTTTCATCCATTTTGAGTTTGTTCTTGCGTATGATGTGAGAAAGTAGCCCAGTTTCATTCTTCTGCATGTTGCCATCCAGTTTTCCCAACACCATTTGTTGAAGACACTGTCCTTTTTCCATTGGATATTCTTACCTACTTTGTCAAAGATGAATTGACCATATAGTTGTGGGTCTTGAAGAGTTATTTAAATTGGAATATTTGGATATATTGGAAAACTCCACTCAGTGGATCCAAGAAGCAAAGTGGCAGGGATTATAACGCTGGACTTTTTGTGACTTAAAAATATTTGATTAAGGAACCAGTATTTTACCCATTTGCAAATTATTCTTAATCTATAGGATACTAAAATCTCAGTTGTCAGGAGCCTTAGGGAACAAGTCCTTTTGTTTAAAAGGTTTAACTGTCAAACTTTTTTATTTGCGTAGTTTCAATAGAAATTACCCCTAAGGGAATTATATATTTTCTGACCTCTTAAACAGAATATACTGAGCATTATTTAACTTTTTATTAATGAATACATAACTTCATCATTATTATAATAATCATTCTTTTCATCATTGCAATGTTCATTTCTAAGGGTATTTATTCCTCTGGTTAATGCCCCTAAATTGCTGTGCTTTTTTAGTGTTTATATCTGCTTTTTATAATTTTCATTTCCCTTGTGGCTGACTAGCATAAGAACCTCTTTAGGGACCTTGCAGTTACTTATGTCAATACAGTAATGTAGAAAGTTAGCAAAAACCCCTTCAGCTTCATAAAAAAAATAGTATTTATGAACATTAGTTTCATACATAGAAAGACAGTGTAGCAAAATTACAAATAAATCAAGAAAAGCTGGACCTGGAGAAACTTGATACTACATTTTATTCCTCAAGTCACCTTAGTCCCTAGCTCTTAAATCCTTCTAGATTTACCAGTCTTGCAGCAGTCTGTGCCTTGTGTCTGTATTTCAGTCTTAGCAACATGAGAACTTGGATCCAAAATATGATTCCATTAATGTAAGAATCATAACAAAAGCACATCATGTTGCTTTTCTGTATTACTGTTCTAATCTCTTGGGAAAGCTCATGAAAGTCATCATTAAAAGTCTCCCCGTTTCCGTTCCCTGCCTCATCCCAGTGATTTTGCCAGTATTAGAAAAGGGGAAGAAGTGTTTAGAAATTAATGCACTGACATTATTATGTGCAAGGCACCATTTTGGGCTGTTTACAAGATTAATTTTAAAAGCATTTCTGGCAAGTAGTAAATATTACCCCAGGTTTCAGATGAATGGCTTGTCTCAAATGTCACAGCTACTGGCAAAGGCATCAGATTCCTAGAAACTTGTTTGGTCTACTATAATGTAAGTAAGTGTCCATATCGTTTTTCCGGTAATTACCACATAGAGGGGCAGTATAGAGTAATGGTTAAGATAGGGCATGGACTCTGGAACCAGTCTGCTTTGGTTCAGATCCCAGCTCTGCCACTAGCTAGCTAAGACCTTGGGCAAGGTACTTAGCCTCCTGTCTTCCTTATCTGAAAACTGTACATAATAATACTACCTACCTAAGGTACTGGGGTTTGCAGACTGAATCCTGAGTAACACTAGAACAGCACCTGACACATAGTAAGCATTCAGTAAGTGTTGTGAATCATTATGATTATTATTCCTCCTCCTCTCACCATTTCTTTTGTTATTATAAATCCCTCTGTGTGTGGAAGTGAGTGAATATACAATTTGAGAATTGAGACTTCGAGAATACAATTTTAGCCATAATTGATCAGCAGCCTAAAGATAATCAGTTTTATTTGTACAAAATTTTATACTTATCCTTTTAGTATAAGTCACTTTAATAAAGATTGGATTGTTTCCAGCCTACTTGGGACACATATTATCAGATTATCTTTCAAAATGGACTCTGGACTCCAAGTTTATATCTCTGCTGGCTCTGTGTTGCATACCCCATCTTGTTTCCAGTCAGGCCATGCTTCTTGGTCTCAGTAGATAGTTAATTATACATAGGTTCTATAAATTTTGCTTTAGTGATTTATATATAATCTGTAATATAAAATGGTATGGTACAGAGGACAATTTATTTTAAAATATGTAAGTTATAAGACCTGGCTGACAACTGATTTACATTATGATTTTTAGTTTTGCCACATTGGTAATTTTTTTGGTACTAAGTTATTAAACATGTATTTCTTTAAGGCACATCTTGTTACTTTTTGTGGTAAAGAAGAAAATCCTGTCTGCACCTTTGATGAAAAGACACCAGACAATTTTCAAGATTCAGAACAGCTAGTAGAGAAGATATGGTATCATGTAATAGATGATAGCTTGGTTGTTGGAGTGAAAACCACATCTTCTTTGAAGCTGTAAGTATCATGATAACATTATCTTGATGGTCTAGAATAGCAGTGCCCAACAGAAATATAATGTTAGCCACATAAGGAATTTTAAATGTTCTAATAAGCCGTGTTCAAAATGTAAGTGGAAACAGGAGAAATTAATTTTTACAATATTGTATCCAAAACATTATCATTGCTGAGGAGTAAACAATGGTCTATATTAAAAAGTAGAGTTTATTCAAGTTATTTGGGGGAGTATAGAATGCCATTTTTACTTTAAACAGAGGGCGAAGCTACCTCAAAAATAAAATCCAGCATTATTTTACTGTTCCTATCTCCTAAGAAAATTATTTTCCTAAAGTTCAACGTATTTACAGTGTTTTTGCTTTCCTATTTCAAGAAAAGGGCTATTACAGGATCTTTAAAAATGTGTATGGTTTTTGCACTTAAGTTTTTTGATATATTTTACATTTGAAATGACATTCCCTAGGAAAAGAGAGGATACAATTTTGTTATTATTTGTGTAGCATTTAATCATCTCTTTGATTCTAAAGAATGAGCTTTTGGACTCAACTCTGGATTTTTTACAGGTCCCTGAATCATGTGACTTTATCACTGGTAATGGATCAAGCTCTTAGCTCCAGCTGTCGGCTTATTAAGTGTCACAATAGGGTGATCACGTTGAGTAGGGATTTTCCCCCGGCTCCACGCTCAGTGCCATATGAAATAGGATCAGAGGCAAAAAGGATCAAGTTGACTATTGATAGTGAGGAAGAGGGAGAGGAAGAGGAGACGGACAAGGAAAGCTTTGCTGGAGAACAAGCGTCTGAGAAAGAGTGTGTACAGGTCATTACTGCCATAACACCTCTTTCACCACTTTTAACATTCAGTAATTTCTGTTGCATTGTGCTGCTACAAATTAGGGAGAGGGAAAACGGTAACTCTTCTGAAGATCGTTATGTTCATTGTGGCAGACTGTTTATAAGTCTAGAAGATCTTTCAAGTAGGAAATACCTGCTGACATTTCCAAAGAAGAAACCTATAGGTAATTTTTGTTGGTACTTTTTAATCATATATATACCTATTGAATTAGAAAATTTTAAGAACTCTTTTGATTTGATAATGGACAGTTTAGTGACAGAGCTTGTGACATGTTTTTCTCGTAGAATGCATGGAAGATCTCTTTGCACTTCTCACAGCGTTTCACAAAACTTGTTTTCAAATCACATCACCCAGCTATTCTCTGACTTCAATGAAGATGTGGCTACTGGAACACATGAAATGTGAAGTAATCAAAGAATTCCCAGAAATTTGCTTTTGCAAACGGCCAGGAAGTTTCTATGGCACACTCTTCAACTGGAAACAAAGAACACCATTTGAAGGGATTTTAATAGTCTATTCCAGGTAATGCACATCAAATTAGAATATGTCCAGAGAAGTCAGTGCATATCTGTGTGGTCCAAGAGTCATCTCCAGAGTAGAGATCTGTGTCACTGGGACACGTTCAGCTCATTGTCTGGGATAGCATGAATGGATACAGGTGGCCTCATTTGGAAACTGAAGCTTTTAACTTAATATTTGTTTTTGGCTTTTTTTTTTTTTTTTTTGGTCAATTAGGACCTAACAGTTATTTTAAGATTTCTACTTATCTTTCCCTGACAATGAAATTTTAAAAATATAATACTGATCTTATTACTCAGAGGAAAAAATGCAATCAGGAAGCAAGTGATTAACATAAGTGACTTGGTATAGGATATGTATATTTGATTGCTATAATCGGAATTATATCAAAGACCACCTGCATGTGTTATTAGTTCTGTTCATCACGAGGGGATTTATAAATGAATATTAAGTGATTACTACAATAAATTGTACATGACTGTTTTGTGCTGTCCCGAGTTTTGTAATATTATGTTTGTTTTGTTTTTTATTTCAGGAATCAAACAGTTTTGTTCCAGTGCCTTCATAATCTCATCGGAGCTCTCCCTATAAATTGTTTCCTCAAGAAACTAAAATTGGGAAGTGAGGATTTCCTAATTGATCATTTGGCATTACCTTTGGAGCAGGAATTGGTTATCCTGGGTTCTCTTTCTTCTGCCTTAGTTAAGGTTGAAAACAACTTGGTGCAGAGTTGCGAAGCAAGCAAAGAAAAGAGTAGTGGTGCTCTGGCTGCTTTATCAGACAGAAAGGAAAGCATCCTTCCCTACAGAAAAGAACTTCAGAGAGAAAAGACGCAAACGTTGGGGACGAACCTAAAAGTGAGTGGTGCCCTTTATAGAGAAATGACTTTGAAATTAGCTGAGGTTCAGCTGAGATCAGACCTTGCTGCACAGAAATTGGCTGGTTTATAATTACCATCTCAATTTGATTACATTTTAAAATATATTTTCTCTGCCAGGACATTTTGATTCCACATTTGTTTCAATTTTACATTCTCTGCCTCCTCCTTTGCCAAAATAAAGATGGAGGCTTGTACCACTGGTGCACAAAACAGCACTCCTTAGAGCAGCACTCCTCAGCTGGGGCCGTTCCGCTTCCCTCCACCCCCCTCCCCCGCTGACGCTGATGGATTTGGCCGTGCCTGGAGGCGTGGTTTTGACTGTGAGAAGTAATTGGGGGGGGGGAGGGTGTGGCAGGACTGCTGTTCGCATGGAGTAGGTGGAGAGCAGGGGTGCTGCTAAACATCTCACTCTGCACAGGACAGCTCCCAAGACAGTGACCCCGCCCCAAGTGTCAGTAATGCCCAGGTGGAGAAATCCTGCCTTAAAGTTAGCGCTTAAGTGAAGACCGAAGTGATCTAACAGTATTTTGGTCTAAACCTTTAAAAAACTTAAATAGTCCTTTTATTGTAACCTGTTTAGTAAACCCTAGCATATAAAAATCCACTTCAAACAGATAAACAAGGTCGTCAGGATTCCCAGGTTTCTGTAAATGGCAGTGTCTGGGTGAGACCATTAAAATGAAAATCTTTGAACCCCTTGTTAATTTAAATTTCATTAGAAAGCTTCTCTGAAATTGTGTAAGTCTATAGGAATATGAAAATTCTAGGGCATCTCTCTGAAAAGCATATTTCTTTCAAAAGGCTAAGCATACCTCATAAGCCACTATTTAAAAAAACTGAAAAAATGCCTTTAAGCCATTTGTAAGTCCAACTTCAGGCCAAGGAAAGATACAGAATTCTAACTAAAATAACGTAAAGAGTATGATGCTCCTTAGGGACTGAGAAATTTCAAAAGAAGTAAAAATTCACTTAACATTTACAAAGTGATTTTTGAGGGGTCCATGGAGACATTTCAAAGGGGTAAAGATTCAACCTATTCTTTTTTGGGAAAAATAAGAATTCTGGAGTAATGAGAACATTTCAGGAGAGGGGAAGACACAAAAGGATATGGTCCAAAAAGAGTGTTTTGGATTCTTTTTTCTCGAAAATCCTTAAGTGAGGTGGAAGTTTTGATCTCAGTTGAAAGAAACAGCTGATTATAGAAAGTGGCATTTTGTGCTTACAGTTCTGAAGTGCTAATTTCCGCCATGCCTTCAGAATGTTTGTGTCTCATGATCTGGTGACACAGATAGGTTTAGAAAATATAGTTTATAACTTTCTCTTCTTGGTTTTTATGATTGTCCATATAACATGCTATATCTTGTTTTCATAACCCATTATGAGAAGAGATAGAACCCTACAGCTCTCTTTCAGGATTAATTATGGAAGTCCGGAAGCATTATGTGTCAGTAGATATATTCCAGCTGTGTGTGACATGTTCTGAAAGAACAGCCTTGTATTGTAAAATGGAGGCTGTCAGAAAGTAAACAATTTAATTGTAATAGTTTATTGCTAGGAAAGTTCGGGTAATTGAAGAAAATCATGTTGCTTTCTTTTATCCATAAAAGCCAACAAGAAGTATTAATCTACATACACCAAAAAAACCTCTTTGCAAGTGAGTTTTGTACTCCAGTATATTTTTTTCTACTCACTACAAACGAGAAAAGACAAAGTTTTAGGGAATGACCCCCTCGCCACTCTCTCATGATTCAGTACTGTTTGCCTGTGCCTGTAAGCACATCCCTCTGGCCGCTGTCCTCTCAAACCCACACGGAAGTGAAAATGAGTGTTGTTTTAGAACAGAGCACGCCGTCGCCACCGTTTTCAGACACCAAGCTTTCTGTTGTCCTCCTGGTCCCCTAACTGAGGAATGCGTGCAACGCAGCTTAGGCCTTGTTGTCACTGACTAGGTTGAGGGAGGGGGAAGAAAGGTAACACTTATTAACTGCCAACCGTATCCCAGACAGTAAGGTAGAAACACACATACCAAATACCCACATCCATACGTATGTATGCTTAAATCCTTCATAGCAATCCATAAAGTATAATTAGTAGTATTTTCCCCAGGATGAAAAAAATGTTAGGCCAAATTAAGGATATGCGTGAAACAACCTGATACTATATACACTTGTTACAAATGTTTTCAAAATGACCAGCTCCTTTTAGAATTCTAATAATAAATGAGTGAATCTTTTATTGTCCTGATAACATCTCTTTATACCATATAAAATTGACTACTCAGTTTTTCTCAGTCTTTTTTTTTTTTTTTTTTGTCTGGCGAACGTATAGTGTACTCTTGGCTTCAGGACTAGAGTCCTGTGATTCATCTCTTCCATACAATACCCAGTGCTTGTCCCAACAAATGCCCTCCTCAGTGCTCATCACCCATTTCCCCAAACCCCTCACCCCCTTCAACCTCAGTTTGCCTCCCTCTGTTTCTATCTCATTTCTCCTTCCCTTCCCCTGTGGTCATCTGTTAAGTTTCTCAAATTCCACGTATGAGTGAAACCATAGGATATTATTCTTTCTCTGACTGGCTTATTTTGCTTAGCATAGTGCCCTCCAGTTCTATACATGTCGTTGCAAATGGCAAGATTTCATTCTTTTTCATTGCCAAGTAGTATTCCGTTGTGTATATATACCACATCTTCTTTATCCATTCATCAGTTGATGAGAACATTTGGACTCTTTCCATAATTTGGCTATCGTCAATAGCGCTGCTTTAAACATTGGGGTGCATGTGCCCCTTCGAATCAACACTCTTCTATATCCTTTGCATAAATTCCTAGTAGTGCAATTGTTGGGTTGTAGGGTAATACTATTTTTAATTTTTTGAGGAACCTCCACACTGCTTTCTAGATGGGCTGCCCCAGTTTGCATTCCCACCAACAGTGCAAGAGGGTTCCCCTTTCTCTACCTCCTCACCAACATCTGCTGTTTCCTGAGTTATTAATTTTAGCCATACTGATAGGTGTGAGGTGGTATCACAATGTGGTTTAGATTTGTATTTCTCTGATGATGAGTGATGTTGAGCATCTTTTCATGTGTCTGTTTGCCATCTGATGTCTTCTTTGGAAAAGTGTCTATTGATGTCTTCTGCCCATTTCTTCACTGGATTATTTGTTTTTCATGTGTTGAGTTTGGTAAATTCTTTACAGATTTTGGATACTAACCCTTTATCTGATATGCTATTTGCAAATATCTTCTCCCATTCCATCGGTTGCCTTTTAATTTTGTTGATTGTTTCCTTTGCAGTGCAGAAGCTTTTTATTTTGATGAAATCTCACTAGTACATTTTTGCTTTTATTTCCCTTGCCTTTGGAGACATGTCAAGTAAGAAGTTGCTGGGGCCGAGGTCAAAGAGGTTGCTGCCTGCTTTCTCCTCTAGGATTTTGATGGTTTCCTATCTTACATTTAGGGCTTTCATCCATTTTGAGTTTAATTTTGTGCATGGTTTAAGAAAGTGGTCCCGTTTCATTCTTCTGCATGTTGCTGTCCAGTTCTCCCAGCATCATTTACTAAAGAGACTGTCTTTTTTCCATTGGATACTCTTTCCTGCTTTGTTGAAGATTAGTTGGCCATATATTTGTGGGTCTATTTCTGGGTTCACTAGTCTGTTCCATTGGTCTGTGTGTCTGCTTTTGTGTCAATACCATCCTGTCTTGATGGTTACAGCTTTGTAATATAGACAAAAGTCAGGAGTTGTGATGCCTCCAGCTTTGGTTTTCTTTTTCTTTTTCTTTTCTTTAAATTTTTTAATGTTTATTTATTTTGAGGGATAGAGAGAGTGTGAGCAGGGGAGGGGCTGAGATAGAAGGAGACACAGAATCTGAAGAAGACTCCAGGCTCTGAGCTTGTCAGCACAGAGCCCAACACAGGGCTCAAACTCACGAACCCCAAGGTCATGACCTAAGATGAAGTCGGAGGCTTAACCTACTGAGCCACTCAGGCACCTGGTGGTTTTCTTTTTCAACATTACTTTGGCTTTTTGGGGTCTTTTATGGTTCCCTACAAATTTTAGGATTGTTGATTCTAGCTCTGAAGAATGCTCATGCTATTTTGATTGGGATTGCATTGAATGTATAGATTGCTTTGGGTAGTATTGACATTTTAACAATATTTGTTCTTCCAATCCATGAGCATGGAATGTTTTTCCATTTCTTTGTGTCTTCTTCGATTTCTTTCATAAGCTTTCTATAGTTTTCAGCATACAGATCTTTTACCTCTTTGGTTAGGTTTATTCTTAGGTATTTTATGGTTCTTGGTGCAATTGTAAATGGGATTGATTCCTTGGTATCTCTTTCTGTTGCTTCATTATTGTAGTATAGTAATGAAACTGATTTCTGCACATTGGTTTTATATCCTGCGGCTTTGCTGAATTCAAATATCAGCTCTAGCAGTCTTTTGGTGGAGTCTTTCGCGTTTTCCATGTAGAGTATCATGTCATCGGTGAAGAGTGAAAAGTTTGACTACTCTTTTGCCAATTTGGATGCCTTTGATTTCCTTTTGTTGTTTGATGGCTAGGCTAGGACTTCCAGCACTATGTTACACAACAGTGGTGAGAGTGGACATCCCTGTCGTGTTCCTGATCTCAGGGGGAAAGCTCTCAGTTTTTCCTCATTGAGGATGATATTAGCTGTGGGCCTTTCATATATGGCTTTTATGATGTCCCGACTTTCTTGCGGGTTTTTATTAAGAAAAGGTGCTGTATTTTGTCAGATGCTTTTCCTGCATCTATTGAAGGATCATATGGTTCTTATTAACCTTTCTTTTATTAATGTGATATATCACATTGATTGTTTTGCAAATATTGAACCAGCCTTGCAGCCCAGGAATGAATCCCACTTGATCATGGTGAATAATTCTTTTTATATACTGTTGAATTCGATTTGCTAGTATCTTACTGAGAATTTTTGCATCCTTGTTCACCAGGGATATTAGCTTGTGCTTCTCCTTTTTATTGGGGTCTTTATCTGGTTGGGGAATCAAAGTAATTCTGGCTCAGAGAATGAGCCTGGAAGCTTTCCTTCCATTTCTGTTTTTTGGAACAACTTGAGAAGAATAGATATCAACTCTAATTTAAATAGTAGAATTCCCCTGGGAAGCCATCTGGCCCAGAACTCTTATCTGTTGGGAGTTTTGATAACCATTTCAATTTCTTTGCTGGCAATGGGTCCTTTCAAATTTTACATTTCTTCCCATTTGAGTTTTGGTAATGTGTGAGTATCTAGGAATTTGTCCATTTCTTTCCAATTGTCCAGATTATTGGCATGTAATTTTTCATTGTATTATCTAATAATTGTTTGTATTTCTGTGATATTGGTTGTGATCTCTTGTCTTTCATTCATGATTTTATCTGTTTGAGTAATCTCTCTTTTCTTTTTGGGAAGTCTGGCTAGGAGTTTATCAATTTTGTTTATTCTTTCAGAAAAATCAGCTCTTAGATTCATTGATTTGTTCTACTGTTGGTTTTTTTTTTTTATTCTGTAGTGTTTATTTCTGCTCTAATCTTTATTATTTCTATTCTGCTGGCTTTGGGCTTTCTTGGCTGCTGCCTTTCTAGTTCCTTTAGGTGTGAGGTTAGGTTCTGTATTTGGGACCTTTCTTGCTTCTTGAGAGAGGCTTGACTGCAACGTATTTTCCACTTAGGACTGCCTTTGCTGCATCCCAAATGGTTTAGACTGTTATGTTTTCATTTTCATTTGCTTCTGTATATTTTTAAATTTCTTCTTAATTTCCTGGTTGACCCATTCATTCTTTAGTAAGATGATCTTTAACCTCAATATATTTGGGGGCTCTTCAAATTTTCTCTTGTGGTTGATTTCAGGTTTCAGAGCATTGTGTTCTGAAAGTATGCATGGTATGATCTCAATCCCTTTATATTTGTTGAGAGCTGTTTTGTGACCCAGTATGGGATCTATTTTGGAGAATGTTCTGTGTGCACTCAAGAAGAATGTGTATTCTGCTTTTGGATGAAAAGTTCTCAATATATCTGTTAAGTCCATCTGGTCCAATGTGTCATTCAGAGCCATTTTTTCCTTATTGATTTTCTGCCTAGATGATCTGTCCATTGCTGTAAGTGGAGAATTAAAGTCCCCTACAATCTTGGTATTATTATCTATACATTTACTTATGTTTGTGATTAATTGATTATATATTTGGGT